AAATAAATAAAATCTTTTAAAAAAAATATTTTATTTTTATTTTTAAGTAATCTCTATACCCATCGTAGGGCTTGAACTCACAACCTCCAGGTCAAGAGTCTCACGCTCTACTGACTGAGCCAGCCAGGTGCTGCTCAAGTTACAGTTTAAATGTTACCTCCTTCAGCATGCCTTCTCTGATTTCCCCAACAATGTGTGAAATCCTCCTCTACTAAACACCTTTGGCATCCTGTGAATTTATCATATCATACTTAACACTATGGCTATTTATATAGCAACATTACCTCCTACTAGATTTCGTAAGGGGGAAATATCCATAAGGGGAAAGTTCCTTAAGGAAATATCTACAGAGTCACGTACACAGTAAGCATTTATATATACATATATATATGCATATATGTGTATATAAATGTGTGTATATATATAATATATAAATATATATGTTGAATGCTGACATAAATAAGCATACGTATTATATTGATAAATAAGTATAAAACAGTATGATAACATACCTGATGGGTAATATGTGCCATTAATTTCAAACCTGAATATGGCCTAAATTTAAAGAACTGGTATCATAAAGTAACTAGGTTTTCAAATTATTAGATTACCAATATTAATGCCAAAAGAAAAAAAAAATCAAATCCACATGTTCTTACACAACATGAAATTCAAATACCAGAACGTATTATTTACTCTACATATATATTAGCAGTTTTGTTTTATAACTAAACATACATGTTAGAAAGTTGTTGACAGCATATAAAAACAGTAAAAAGAATTCTCCCTTACTTCGAGTTAGTTTTGGAAATCTTTTTTTCAGCTTTTTCTTTAATGGATTAAGCTCGGGCATTATTTCTGGAACAGCTACATAAAAGTCTGATTGAATTTCATCATCCAAAATCTGAAAATCAGGGGAAAAAAGATAACCCTAGATTATATGAAAAGCTTTATCCTTCTGAAAATAAAGTATAATGTTGTAATTTCCCTTATAATTTAGAAAACAGACATTAAGCACAATTCTTTCCTTCAAAGATCCTACAAACACATTTACCAATTATGAAAACCATTAGAACCAAAACATTTTCTGATGTTCTCTTTTAAAAATAGCCACATCTTTTAAAAACAAAACAAAATAAAAACCCATTTACTGGGTTTAATTCTTCTGTGGGGTTATGTTAGTCAAAGGTGTAATCAACTAGAAGATAGCACTGATGTGTATACATGGCTCATATAATCCTACAAAGTTGAATTCATATGTCCATTAAAACTGAAGAAACAATGCTGAAAATTTTGCAATATATCATATGTTAAATTAATAATACTCAAATCACTAGCAACCAAATCACTAGCAACCACACTGCTTTCCTAAATTTAGAGCATCAAGAGAACTAATCTATAATTATTTTCACAAAGAACTGAAACTAAAATTCTATTTGCCTCCAATAACTAAAAATAAAAGAGGAGTGGGATGGTCAAAGACAAATTCATTTATAATTTATTTATCCACACTCTAATTCCATTTTAATAGCAAAAAGAATAATATCCAATTTTTAAAAGACAGCTTTAATTAATTCAGGCAAGCATCCGAAATAATTATTAGACTACTACAACATACTCCATTTAAACATTTAGTTGATTACAAAATGATTACAAAAACATTTAGTTGATTACAAAAAAGGAACTTTTTAGAATAATACTGCTTGGACAACAAATATTTTACCAATGATTCTTTTTGCATATAATATTACCACAATATGTCATTCAAAGACATGGTTTGGGGTTACACAGTGAACCCTAAAATCTTGTACCATGGCAAAATTAAGCAGTGATTCTAGAATTTTACCTTCCTGTTATTATTCTTATTTTTCCAAATTCTTTACTCCCTAAATAACTTACTGTGGTCCCCTTAATGGTAACAACTTGCATTAAATGAGCACTTACCACATGTACCAAGCAATCTGCTGAACATGTCAAATGATTTAGTTCATCCAGTCTTTGTAATAACCCTATGAGGCCAGTACTAATATTGACCACACATCCCAGATCAGGAAACTGAGGGCTTAGGACAGATTAGTCAGTCTGTGCACTTATAAAGAGCAAATCCAGATTTCAAACATATGCAATGGCTCTTATTCATAGAAATATGAAAACAGAGGCAATTTTGAAACGTCAAAGAACTGTGTGTGAAATTTCTACTCTAAGACCTTTCAATACGGATTTTATGACACGCTCCTTTAAATTTAAAACTGTTTAAAAGTTATGTTAAAGTTAACCTTAAGATCACCTCTTGGAATAATACAAAACCATATAAATGAAAACCATGCTTTAGAGACAAGTAAAAATGAAGTTCTGAAACAAAATGAATTTATTAAAGACCTAACTTAAAAAATGACTATTAGTTCAGTAAATTTACCCTACATTTACCTTCTATAAGTGCTAAGTAAAATAGTATTTAACCTAACTAAAAAATACAGAAATGTGTAAAAAAAAAATCACAGCCATGATACTATTTACCAAAAGTGTCTTGAAATTATTTCATAATCTGAATAGCTTCTAAAAATAACATGGATGAGGGGAGCTTGGGTGGCTCAGTCGGTTGGGCGGCTGACTCTTGGTTTTGGCTCAGGTCTTGAGCTCGGGCAGACTCTGCTTAAGGATTCTTCCTCTCCCTCTGCCCCTCCCCCCATTTGTGTGCACACTCTGTCTCTCTCTCAGGTAAAAAAATAAATCTTTAGAAAATTTAAAAAAATAAAATAACATGGATAAGCTTTGAAAGATTCCATGGAGTAACTTGCAAGAATATGCTAGTGATGCCTTATACAACTGGCATTTTCCCTCTAGTAATCAATCACCACTGGCACCCTTAAAGAGAAATTCTGTACTGTAACATCTTATTTACCAAATAATTTCAAAATATACTTGGTTTCCTTATTTGGGTTACTTTTTCTTTTTTTTTTTTTTAAAGATTTTATTTATTCATTTGAGACAGAGAGAATGAGATACAGAGAGCATGAGAGGGAGGAGGGTCAGAGGGAGAAGCAGACT